CTACGGCTAACGGGCAGCATATTGGGAATGAACTCACTGTCTCAAACGCATTTCCACGCTGCTCAGTACAAGGTGAGTGAGTGCAATTCACCTAGCAACGGTTCAGCGGTAGCTAACTAACCGCATGCATATCAAGGGTAACTGCGTAACTATGGTGCATTGTGAGTGTTTGCGTTTATGGCTCTAGGTCCAGTTAGTTTGATATCGCAGTTAAAATTAAGTAACACGTCAGGGACTTACAGTTTCAAACTGCCATTTCAGGCCAATGCAGAAATGCGCGGAAACGAAAGTTGCACCGGCACTTCCGAGCCTTGCCGTCTGTGTCTGTATCGCTATTCATACAGGACTTATTACCTGGCTTCTGTATCACCTCGCATTTGAAGGTAAACTGTAATCATACTTTACCTCAATCTACAAAAACTTTCAGAGGTTACAGACTGCGACGGTCTAGACAGCGCAGAAGTGTCTGTGCTCACCAGTTTCAGTGTAGGCGCCTCCGTTTGAAACGTTACTTGCACGTGCTACTTCGGCTTTTTTTCTAGAATATTCGTTTCGCTGAGTATCCGTACGCGGAACTACTCCTCGAGACATGGCAATGCGCCTACGTGCTGGTGGCATTTTGCTTCGTAGCAAACATCTTCAACTTTCCAGGGGTATGTCAAAATTTATATATGGAGTTCAGCTGAACGATATTGTAGAAAATGATTCTGCTGGACATAGTTTCCGTGCTTTTGATCTGGCGCATTAATGGATGGCAGTTTGCAATCACTGTTATCGTCATATCCATAGCTTTCTCAGTCTTTGGTGCTTACCTTGGAAGAAGTCCTTTATTTGTGTTGATTGTGGGGATGCTAATGCTGGGAAATATAAAACACGTTCTCCTCTTCTGTCTACCACAGGTAAGTTATTTAGTAAGGTTTAGGTCTGTGGTTTTTGATTGAACAAATATACATGCCCGCGGGACTCTTTGTACCAGGTTGATTTAAACAACAGACTTAAGTTTGTCTGTTAAGTCTTTGCTCCTTTGCTGAAATGTAGCATTCAGTGGGTGTTGTCGTTAACGGGGCAGAGCGGTGCAAGACAGTTAAGGTTGTCTTCGGTGATCGGCGACCATTGGAAGTATACAGTCAGGCCAATATTTCATGCAAAATTCCGAAATTTTCGAAAGATAAGTAATCGTTCGCGAAACACTTATGCTGATGGCATAGAAGCGCACACCGATCTGTCAGAGGACCCACTAGTCCCCCCATATTGCCATTAGAGTTCTCTCTCTCGAGCCTCCACCGCTGGGTGGCTAGGATACTGATGATCGTGCAGCCTGCTCTGAGGTCATTCCAGTCACGGCAGAATGCCGGCTTTTAAAATAGCTTCTTTATGACAACTTAAAATAATTGTTTTTTTGCAAAAAGGATACTTAAGTAGTATTTATTCAACTCACGGCTTGTGACTGCCTTGTAAATTCAAATATATCTTTCATAGAAAACATTTACAAAATTATTCCTCCTTGTTCTCGATTGACAGCAAATTATACCGTCCTTAAAATTTTTATTCTTAAAGGAAGCGTATCATTCAACTTTAAAAAATTTCTCAATATTTGAATGGTCATGAAAACTGAATTCAAGGTTTACAAACTGCGTGTTGTGTACGTTCAATATGAGAAAAAGTGCGTTATCACCTACGGTGTGAGGAAGAGGTCAAACAATGATCACTCAATTTTGCAGTAGATGTAAATCATATTATATACATTGTAGACGATCTTAATATATTGACGGATATGATATGTTATTAGTAAACACTTAACACTCGTAAACATTATCTTAATTAGTAATGTATTTTAAAACCAAAATATGCCCCTTTCTTCAAGTAAAAAGATTGAAGAAGGCTTACTTTTCTACCTCATGCGTACAAGAAAGAATCTGTTTGAGAATTATTTGTAGCAAATATATGCAGACAAAAACAATGCATTAAATGCATACTACAGCAGTAGCCATTTTTCTCCAGAATATACACCTCATAAGCGGTCAGAAGACAACTCGTTAAAACGCCCGCATCCTCCTGTGACTGAACTGGCATGAGATTAGGTTGCGTGATTTTAACTATTACACTTAATTGAATATGCGAGTTCCAGGAAGCAGTTCAGAAAAAGAGGAAGCGCCGACTGGAACAAGAGTTTTATTGTAAAGAGGAAAAAGACGCGATCTCTGGAATGATAGTTTTATTCTGAGCTTTCGGCTCCACACG